AAATCTCTATATTAAAGATGTTCCTCGTCGAGACTAAATACTTTCGTTAGTTTGAGAGAAACATTGCTGACAACGGTTTCTAGGAGAACCTGGTCAGAGGAAAGGCGACAGACGGTGCTTATGCAGCCAAAATGAATCAAGAACGAAGATTTTGATGGAAAACCTCTCGCCAACAATGCTTCGTAATGACATCAAAGACATGCTAGAATTGGTCAAGTATCGCCACATTCACATCAATGATCAACCGCTGTACAATTTGATCCTGGAACGTGCGGAATTTCAGCAGCTTTTTACAGCCGGTTTAGGCAGCAGGAGCCAGCTAATACAGCTGCCAAAGTCGGCAGCCGCAACTTTGGCAGAGTACTGGACAACACGGGGGGCAGTCAAATAAGCCGAGAAGCCTTCTGGATGGGTTGTCGCATTGCATGTCTCGTTGTCCCAAACACTTATATATAAAGCGATTTATATCCCACAACTGTGTACAAACGGACCGAGCTTTGTCGGGTTTTAAAGGTATAAAAGATGTCGCCAACGTACTGGCCTTGCACGCCGTTCACATCTATACTACTAATAGCAACGATGAGGCGAGCTTTGGAAGCCGATGTAGGAGATTGCGAGTGTTCCGAAGCTGATATCTCGTGGCGTTACTCTTCTTCGCTGAATCCTACTTGCCTTGAGTTTACGAGTATGCGGTGCCCGCAATTTCGAATCACCCTCCACAACGCGCTCAAACTGTGCAGATACATGTACGGAGCGCACAGCCCCTAGTATTCGAGTTTCTCCGTTGCCTTAACAAGGAATGGCGAGTGTAGAAATATATTTTTCATCGCAAATGTGTTACGATGAACCATGCGGGAAACAATGTACACGGATTTGCCATCACAATGAAAGCTTTAGGCGCGGATGACAATTACAAATTTCTTTTTACTGCGGATCAGCAGTGCTCCGTTGAGCGCCAAGCCGCTGCCTCTTTATTAATGAAGGGGGTTACTATAAAGCTAATGATGATATGAAATGTAACGTGCATAAACAAACATCCATAGTAAATATAGCATATATGTTTTGAAACGTTTACTACGTATTTGTTCTGTGGAAATCTGCGAGAGCGGATCAAGTTGTTTAGCCCGTAAACTGTTCTCCAGTGAAAACTTTGTCAGTATTCATTGCGCTCCCAGCCGAAAATTGCTTAAATCTGACTCAACTGTAGCTGTGTTTGGGAACGCCATTGCCAGAACATCGCTGTTGTGCCCTGTACTTTCTGCCATCGAGCTTCTATCCACCAGCGAAGTCCGTCTTCTCATCCGTGCAGCCATTGGAAGCAATATTTTTGTTATACATTCTTCTTGCGCAGCTGCAATGCGTTTATTTTCTGGTCATTTATAGTTATGTGTAGGTGCTTACACCATCAGAAGCCCCACGTAAATTTCTGGGCTTACTGACCTCTTGATGTAACCGATTGATGAGGCTTGTGTAGTGTTTGACAAAATGAAAAGTGACATTATAAACTAGAGCTTGAAGGACGTCTACACTTTGTCGTGTCCACTCCTTTAGGCTTGTTTACTCATTTTATTCCGTCTTGGAAGCTTACAGTAAGCTTAACCTATATTATACCCACCATACTTTTACCTGACCTTAAGCGTACAGTAATAATTTGAACGGATACGTCACACGACTTCCTTTTGAAAGAAGGTGCTTATTTCGCCGGGCGGTTTGGAGCGATGTGGCCGACTTTCTTGCAGCGATGACACTCGCTGAGCTCTATCAGTCCTCTTTAGCTGCGGCGGCTCTTTGCCTTGCGTGATCGAAACAAAGCGCTAGCTGGTTAGTCTCATCGAGCGTCACCGGGTGATTCTCTCACAAATGATTTGCGGTCGCCGGCCTTAACCCTTGTTGGAAGTAGAGACGCAGTTCCAGCTGGCTTACTTGCATCGTGCATGGGATGAGCAAATTTAAAAACTTCTCCACGTAATCATGAAGTGACGTGGACTGACTAAGCACACATTAGATCCCGTAAGTGATACTCGCTTTCAGGTGGTAGGAATCGCTTGCGCATGACCGCTTTAAAAACCGCGCAGGTCTTCACTTGTCCTCTCGCGTCGCATCCCGCTGACAAAATAACGGTACCAGTTTTTAAAGGTCATCCCCAGACGACATGATGACATTGTTACAAATTGCGGTGACTCCTCCGTCATTTGAGGGTGATAGTCGGTGTAATATTGCTTCAGGGTGAAACCCCAAAGCTCCAGATCCTCGTCTAGCTTGCTATACGTCGAAGGTTGATTCTTGCGGGCCGCTGTTGGCATCAATGCGAGCGCGTCGATGCGTATCTTGGTGGCAGCGTATTGGTCCAGCATCATTGCTTGAAATTCGGCTTGCTGGCGGGCGAGAAGTGCAATGGCTTCTCCAAAGAGGTGCGACGTGCTACAACAGGACCAACATAACGAACAAACTCCCAACATCAGACTAGTTTTGGTGCTGAGAGTGTAGCAGTTGCATTACCAAGAATGGCTGGGCCTAATTTCAGAATTACTCCTGTAGTCAGGGGAATGATATTTTGCCAAATTACAGTCCACAAAACTAATACTCAAGAAGTATTAGCGAGACGAGAAGAGACACTACAATAGTAATAATACTAAATTACTGGTCTATTATTTAAACATCTAGACTATATGAACAAAGAGGACAATGACCATCTGAATGGCCTGAGCGAAGGCTAAAGCAGAGGTCGTCGCCCCTGCTGATCATCGGAGCTAGCTTGATGCTAATCTGCCACTTCATTTTCGCCTTTTCCTTTTGGACCCTCAGCTCAACACACTCGGAAACCGTACAAACGATAGGCGCATGGAACCTCTACGTATTTGTCTGGAATCTGAGCTGGGCGCCGTTGATGTGGGTCGTCTGCTCAGAGATTCTGCCGGACAAATTTCACTCCATTAAGTTGGGCCTTACATTTGGCACGTTATGGCTGAACGGCGTACTAGTCAACCTGACGCTTCTCTCGGTTTTCCACGTCTTCGAGACTGGAAACGCCTTCCGGGTTTACAGTGCACTCACGGCTACTTCGCTTGGCTTCAGTTACTTCGTTGAAAGCTCCATTTAGTGATGTTGCAGCTAATGACGCTTACTTGTTGTAGATTCCAGAAACTACCAGGCTCATGTTCGAGCGGAGTCACTCGGTCACACTTCTTGCTCATGCTCACATATGCCTACCCTATTCGGGAAAGTACTGCTTCGTCTTATTACGTCTGGTGTTTTGGCCATTCTGAGCGCGTGCCAACAAACAGGAGCCAGCTTCGATGCTCGGTCTCGGCACTGTACAAACCACGCGAGCAAGCGCCCTTACAGTAATAAGGCGTTGACAGGGTGTCACAGCATAGTCCTCTTAACCCAGCACGGTCTGTGTTCTAGTGCGAGTACCGTTAAATGACAAAGGTTGACATCGGAACTCAGGCCCATGGTGGATTTGAACCCACGCGAAATGAGTCGTTGGAGAGTAAGATGGGCGATCCGGTAGGACGGGTAGGTTCACTGGACGACGCGAGAGGTCGGCGAAGCGAGTAAAGACGCCAAAACAGGCAAGCCAGTGGCAAAAGAAAGAAGAAGTTGGCCAATGTGGGATTCGAACCCACGCCCTTTCGGACCAGTGCCTTAAACTGGCGCCTTAGACCGCTCGGCCAATTGACCACCTTACGCAAACCACAACCCTCGCGCAAACAAAAAACGCCATTCGCCAACACACCACAGCTCACAAGCCACGCGCCGCACGCAGCCAAACGAACCATGCAGCACACCACCTGTCTTGGACGACTCGCCTCCGCCACCGCTTGCCTCACTCCGTCTTCACCCACCCAAGACTTGACTGATCTGATGTCGTCCATTTCCATGAGCCTGCCAAACGCTGTGTTGGCCTGTCACACGGTCGCACTTCCTCCTCATGCTCACATACGTCTACCCTATTCGGGAAAGTGCTGCTTCGTTTTATTACGTCTGGTGTTTTGGCCATTCGGAGCGCGTGCCAACGAACAGGAGCCAGCTTCGATGCTTGGTCTCGGCACTGTCCAAACCACGCGAGCAAGCGCCCTTACAGTAATAAGGCGTTGACAGGGTGTCACAGCATAGTCCTCTTAACCCAGCACGGTCTGTGTTCTAGTGCGAGTACCGTTAAATGACAAAGGTTGACATCGGAACTCAGGCCCATGGTGGATTTGAATCCACGCGAAATGAGTCGTTGGAGAGTAAGATGGGCGATCCGGTAGGACGGGTAGGTTCACTGGACGACGCGAGAGGTCGGCGAAGCGAGTAAAGACGCCAAAACAGGCAAGCCAGTGGCAAAAGAAAGAAGAAGTATGGCCAATGTGGGAGTTCGAAACTCACGCCCTTTTCGGACCAGTGCCTTAAACTGGACGCCCTTAGACCGCTTCGGCAAATGAACACCTTTACGCAAACCACAACCCCTCGCGCAAACAAAAAAACGCCAATTCGCCAACACACCACAGCTCACAAGCCACGCGCCGCACGCAGCCAAACGAACCATGCAGCACACCACCTGTCTTGGACGACTCGCCTCCGCCACCGCTTGCCTCACTCCGTCTTCACCCACCCAAGACTTGACTGATCTGATGTCGTCCATTTCCATGAGCCTGCCAAACGCTGTGTTGGCCTGTCACACGGTCGGCACTTCCTTCCTCATGCTCACATACGTCTACCCTATTCGGGAAAGTACTGCTTTCGTTTTATTACGTCTGGTGTTTTTGGCCATTCGGAGCGCGTGCCAACGAACAGGAGCCTAGCTTCGATGCTCGGTCTCGGCACTGTCCAAACCACGCGAGCAAGCGCCCTTACAGTAATAAGGCGTTGACAGGGTGTCACAGCATAGTTCCTCTTAACCCAGCACGGTCTGTGTTTCTAGTGCGAGTACCGTTAAATGACAAAGGTTGGACATCGGAACTCAGGCCCATGGTGGATTTGAACCCACGCGAAATGAGTCGTTGGAGAGTAAGATGGGCGATCCGGTAGGACGGGTAGGTTCACTGGACGACGCGAGAGGTCGGCGAAGCGAGTAAAGACGCCAAAACAGGCAAGCCAGTGGCAAAAGAAAGAAGAAGTTGGCCAATGTGGGATTCGAACCCACGCCCTTTCGGACCAGTGCCTTAAACTGGCGCCTTAGATCGCTCGGCCAATTGACCACCTTACGCAAACCACAACCCTCGCGCAAACAAAAAACGCCATTCGCCAACACACCACAGCTCACAAGCCACGCGCCGCACGCAGCCAAACGAACCATGCAGCACACCACCTGTCTTGGACGACTCGCCTCCGCCACCGCTTGCCTCACTCCGTCTTCACCCACCCAAGACTTGACTGATCTGATGTCGTCCATTTCCATGAGCCTGCCAAACGCTGTGTTGGCCTGTCACACGGTCGCACTTCCTCCTCATGCTCACATACGTCTACCCTATTCGGGAAAGTACTGCTTCGTTTTATTACGTCTGGTGTTTTGGCCATTCGGAGCGCGTGCCAACGAACAGGAGCCAGCTTCGATGCTTGGTCTCGGCACTGTCCAAACCACGCGAGCAAGCGCCCTTACAGTAATAAGGCGTTGACAGGGTGTCACAGCATAGTCCTCTTAACCCAGCACGGTCTGTGTTCTAGTGCGAGTACCGTTAAATGACAAAGGTTGACATCGGAACTCAGGCCCATGGTGGATTTGAACCCACGCGAAATGAGTCGTTGGAGAGTAAGATGGGCGATCCGGTAGGACGGGTAGGTTCACTGGACGACGCGAGAGGTCGGCGAAGCGAGTAAAGACGCCAAAACAGGCAAGCCAGTGGCAAAAGAAAGAAGAAGTTGGCCAATGTGGGATTCGAACCCACGCCCTTTCGGACCAGTGCCTTAAACTGGCGCCTTAGACCGCTCGGCCAATTGACCACATTACGCAAACCACAACCCTCGCGCAAACAAAAAACGCCATTCGCCAACACACCACAGCTCACAAGCCACGCGCCGCACGTAGCCAAACGAACCATGCAGCACACCACTTGTCTTGGACGACTCGCCTCCGCCACCGCTTGCCTCACTCCGTCTTCACCCACCCAAGACTTGACTGATCTGATGTCGTCCATTTCCATGAGCCTGCCAAACGCTGTGTTGGCCTGTCACACGGTCGCACTTCCTCCTCATGCTCACATACGTCTACCCTATTCGGGAAAGTACTGCTTCGTTTTATTACGTCTGGTGTTTTGGCCATTCGGAGCGCGTGCCAACGAACAGGAGCCAGCTTCGATGCTTGGTCTCGGCACTGTCCAAACCACGCGAGCAAGCGCCCTTACAGTAATAAGGCGTTGACAGGGTGTCACAGCATAGTCCTCTTAACCCAGCACGGTCTGTGTTCTAGTGCGAGTACCGTTAAATGACAAAGGTTGACATCGGAACTCAGGCCCATGGTGGATTTGAACCCACGCGAAATGAGTCGTTGGAGAGTAAGATGGGCGATCCGGTAGGACGGGTAGGTTCACTGGACGACGCGAGAGGTCGGCGAAGCGAGTAAAGACGCCAAAACAGGCAAGCCAGTGGCAAAAGAAAGAAGAAGTTGGCCAATGTGGGATTCGAACCCACGCCCTTTCGGACCAGTGCCTTAAACTGGCGCCTTAGACCGCTCGGCCAATTGACCACCTTACGCAAACCACAACCCTCGCGCAAACAAAAAAACGCCATTTGCCAACACACCACAGCTCACAAGCCACGCGCCGCACGCAGCCAAACGAACCATGCAGCACACCACGTGTCTTGGACGACTCGCCTCCGCCACCGCTTGCCTCACTCCGTCTTCACCCACCCAAGACTTGACTGATCTGATGTCGTCCATTTCCATGAGCCTGCCAAACGCTGTGTTGGCCTGTCACACGGTCGCACTTCCTCCTCATGCTCACATACGTCTACCCTATTCGGGAAAGTACTGCTTCGTTTTATTACGTCTGGTGTTTTGGCCATTCGGAGCGCGTGCCAACGAACAGGAGCCAGCTTCGATGCTTGGTCTCGGCACTGTCCAAACCACGCGAGCAAGCGCCCTTACAGTAATAAGGCGTTGACAGGGTGTCACAGCATAGTCCTCTTAACCCAGCACGGTCTGTGTTCTAGTGCGAGTACCGTTAAATGACAAAGGTTGACATCGGAACTCAGGCCCATGGTGGATTTGAACCCACGCGAAATGAGTCGTTGGAGAGTAAGATGGGCGATCCGGTAGGACGGGTAGGTTCACTGGACGACGCGAGAGGTCGGCGAAGCGAGTAAAGACGCCAAAACAGGCAAGCCAGTGGCAAAAGAAAGAAGAAGTTGGCCAATGTGGGATTCGAACCCACGCCCTTTCGGACCAGTGCCTTAAACTGGCGCCTTAGACCGCTCGGCCAATTGACCACCTTACTCAAACCACAACCCTCGCGCAAACAAAAAACGCCATTCGCCAACACACCACAGCTCACAAGCCACGCGCCGCACGCAGCCAAACGAACCATGCAGCACACCACCTGTCTTGGACGACTCGCCTCCGCCACCGCTTGCCTCACTCCGTCTTCACCCACCCAAGACTTGACTGATCTGATGTCGTCCATTTCCATGAGCCTGCCAAACGCTGTGTTGGCCTGTCACACGGTCGCACTTCCTCCTCATGCTCACATACGTCTACCCTATTCGGGAAAGTACTGCTTCGTTTTATTACGTCTGGTGTTTTGGCCATTCGGAGCGCGTGCCAACGAACAGGAGCCAGCTTCGATGCTTGGTCTCGGCACTGTCCAAACCACGCGAGCAAGCGCCCTTACAGTAATAAGGCGTTGACAGGGTGTCACAGCATAGTCCTCTTAACCCAGCACGGTCTGTGTTCTAGTGCGAGTACCGTTAAATGACAAAGGTTGACATCGGAACTCAGGCCCATGGTGGATTTGAACCCACGCGAAATGAGTCGTTGGAGAGTAAGATGGGCGATCCGGTAGGACGGGTAGGTTCACTGGACGACGCGAGAGGTCGGCGAAGCGAGTAAAGACGCCAAAACAGGCAAGCCAGTGGCAAAAGAAAGAAGAAGTTGGCCAATGTGGGATTCGAACCCACGCCCTTTCGGACCAGTGCCTTAAACTGGCGCCTTAGACCGCTCGGCCAATTGACCACCTTACGCAAACCACAACCCTCGCGCAAACAAAAAACGCCATTTGCCAACACACCACAGCTCACAAGCCACGCGCCGCACGCAGCCAAACGAACCATGCAGCACACCACCTGTCTTGGACGACTCGCCTCCGCCACCGCTTGCCTCACTCCGTCTTCACCCACCCAAGACTTGACTGATCTGATGTCGTCCATTTCCATGAGCCTGCCAAACGCTGTGTTGGCCTGTCACACGGTCGCACTTCCTCCTCATGCTCACATACGTCTACCCTATTCGGGAAAGTACTGCTTCGTTTTATTACGTCTGGTGTTTTGGCCATTCTGAGCGCGTGCCAACGAACAGGAGCCAGCTTCGATGCTTGGTCTCGGCACTGTCCAAACCACGCGAGCAAGCGCCCTTACAGTAATAAGGCGTTGACAGGGTGTCACAGCATAGTCCTCTTAACCCAGCACGGTCTGTGTTCTAGTGCGAGTACCGTTAAATGACAAAGGTTGACATCGGAACTCAGGCCCATGGTGGATTTGAACCCACGCGAAATGAGTCGTTGGAGAGTAAGATGGGCGATCCGGTAGGACGGGTAGGTTCACTGGACGACGCGAGAGGTCGGCGAAGCGAGTAAAGACGCCAAAACAGGCAAGCCAGTGGCAAAAGAAAGAAGAAGTTGGCCAATGTGGGATTCGAACCCACGCCCTTTCGGACCAGTGCCTTAAACTGGCGCCTTAGACCGCTCGGCCAATTGACCACCTTACGCAAACCACAACCCTCGCGCAAACAAAAAACGCCATTCGCCAACACACCACAGCTCACAAGCCACGCGCCGCACGCAGCCAAACGAACCATGCAGCACACCACCTGTCTTGGACGACTCGCCTCCGCCACCGCTTGCCTCACTCCGTCTTCACCCACCCAAGACTTGACTGATCTGATGTCGTCCATTTCCATGAGCCTGCCAAACGCTGTGTTGGCCTGTCACACGGTCGCACTTCCTCCTCATGCTCACATACGTCTACCCTATTCGGGAAAGTACTGCTTCGTTTTATTACGTCTGGTGTTTTGGCCATTCGGAGCGCGTGCCAACGAACAGGAGCCAGCTTCGATGCTTGGTCTCGGCACTGTCCAAACCACGCGAGCAAGCGCCCTTACAGTAATAAGGCGTTGACAGGGTGTCACAGCATAGTCCTCTTAACCCAGCACGGTCTGTGTTCTAGTGCGAGTACCGTTAAATGACAAAGGTTGACATCGGAACTCAGGCCCATGGTGGATTTGAACCCACGCGAAATGAGTCGTTGGAGAGTAAGATGGGCGATCCGGTAGGACGGGTAGGTTCACTGGACGACGCGAGAGGTCGGCGAAGCGAGTAAAGACGCCAAAACAGGCAAGCCAGTGGCAAAAGAAAGAAGAAGTTGGCCAATGTGGGATTCGAACCAACGCCCTTTCGGACCAGTGCCTTAAACTGGCGCCTTAGACCGCTCGGCCAATTGACCACCTTACGCAAACCACAACCCTCGCGCAAACAAAAAACGCCATTCGCCAACACACCACAGCTCACAAGCCACGCGCCGCACGTAGCCAAACGAACCATGCAGCACACCACCTGTCTTGGACGACTCGCCTCCGCCACCGCTTGCCTCACTCCGTCTTCACCCACCCAAGACTTGACTGATCTGATGTCGTCCATTTCCATGAGCCTGCCAAACGCTGTGTTGGCCTGTCACACGGTCGCACTTCCTCCTCATGCTCACATACGTCTACCCTATTCGGGAAAGTACTGCTTCGTTTTATTACGTCTGGTGTTTTGGCCATTCGGAGCGCGTGCCAACGAACAGGAGCCAGCTTCGATGCTTGGTCTCGGCACTGTCCAAACCACGCGAGCAAGCGCCCTTACAGTAATAAGGCGTTGACAGGGTGTCACAGCATAGTCCTCTTAACCCAGCACGGTCTGTGTTCTAGTGCGAGTACCGTTAAATGACAAAGGTTGACATCGGAACTCAGGCCCATGGTGGATTTGAACCCACGCGAAATGAGTCGTTGGAGAGTAAGATGGGCGATCCGGTAGGACGGGTAGGTTCACTGGACGACGCGAGAGGTCGGCGAAGCGAGTAAAGACGCCAAAACAGGCAAGCCAGTGGCAAAAGAAAGAAGAAGTTGGCCAATGTGGGATTCGAACCCACGCCCTTTCGGACCAGTGCCTTAAACTGGCGCCTTAGACCGCTCGGCCAATTGACCACCTTACGCAAACCACAACCCTCGCGCAAACAAAAAACGCCATTCGCCAACACACCACAGCTCACAAGCCACGCGCCGCACGCAGCCAAACGAACCATGCAGCACACCACCTGTCTTGGACGACTCGCCTCCGCCACCGCTTGCCTCACTCCGTCTTCACCCACCCAAGACTTGACTGATCTGATGTCGTCCATTTCCATGAGCCTGCCAAACGCTGTGTTGGCCTGTCACACGGTCGCACTTCCTCCTCATGCTCACATACGTCTACCCTATTCGGGAAAGTACTGCTTCGTTTTATTACGTCTGGTGTTTTGGCCATTCGGAGCGCGTGCCAACGAACAGGAGCCAGCTTCGATGCTCGGTCTCGGCACTGTCCAAACCACGCGAGCAAGCGCCCTTACAGTAATAAGGCGTTGACAGGGTGTCACAGCATAGTCCTCTTAACCCAGCACGGTCTGTGTTCTAGTGCGAGTACCGTTAAATGACAAAGGTTGACATCGGAACTCAGGCCCATGGTGGATTTGAACCCACGCGAAATGAGTCGTTGGAGAGTAAGATGGGCGATCCGGTAGGACGGGTAGGTTCACTGGACGACGCGAGAGGTCGGCGAAGCGAGTAAAGACGCCAAAACAGGCAAGCCAGTGGCAAAAGAAAGAAGAAGTTGGCCAATGTGGGATTCGAACCCACGCCCTTTCGGACCAGTGCCTTAAACTGGCGCCTTAGACCGCTCGGCCAATTGACCACCTTACGCAAACCACAACCCTCGCGCAAACAAAAAACGCCATTCGCCAACACACCACAGCTCACAAGCCACGCGCCGCACGCAGCCAAACGAACCATGCAGCACACCACGTGTCTTGGACGACTCGCCTCCGCCACCGCTTGCCTCACTCCGTCTTCACCCACCCAAGACTTGACTGATCTGATGTCGTCCATTTCCATGAGCCTGCCAAACGCTGTGTTGGCCTGTCACACGGTCGCACTTCCTCCTCATGCTCACATACGTCTACCCTATTCGGGAAAGTACTGCTTCGTTTTATTACGTCTGGTGTTTTGGCCATTCGGAGCGCGTGCCAACGAACAGGAGCCAGCTTCGATGCTTGGTCTCGGCACTGTCCAAACCACGCGAGCAAGCGCCCTTACAGTAATAAGGCGTTGACAGGGTGTCACAGCATAGTCCTCTTAACCCAGCACGGTCTGTGTTCTAGTGCGAGTACCGTTAAATGACAAAGGTTGACATCGGAACTCAGGCCCATGGTGGATTTGAACCCACGCGAAATGAGTCGTTGGAGAGTAAGATGGGCGATCCGGTAGGACGGGTAGGTTCACTGGACGACGCGAGAGGTCGGCGAAGCGAGTAAAGACGCCAAAACAGGCAAGCCAGTGGCAAAAGAAAGAAGAAGTTGGCCAATGTGGGATTCGAACCCACGCCCTTTCGGACCAGTGCCTTAAACTGGCGCCTTAGTCCGCTCGGCCAATTGACCACCTTACGCAAACCACAACCCTCGCGCAAACAAAAAACGCCATTCGCCAACACACCACAGCTCACAAGCCACGCGCCGCACGTAGCCAAACGAACCATGCAGCACACCACTTGTCTTGGACGACTCGCCTCCGCCACCGCTTGCCTCACTCCGTCTTCACCCACCCAAGACTTGACTGATCTGATGTCGTCCATTTCCATGAGCCTGCCAAACGCTGTGTTGGCCTGTCACACGGTCGCACTTCCTCCTCATGCTCACATACGTCTACCCTATTCGGGAAAGTACTGCTTCGTTTTATTACGTCTGGTGTTTTGGCCATTCGGAGCGCGTGCCAACGAACAGGAGCCAGCTTCGATGCTCGGTCTCGGCACTGTCCAAACCACGCGAGCAAGCGCCCTTACAGTAATAAGGCGTTGAAAGGGTGTCACAGCATAGTCCTCTTAACCCAGCACGGTCTGTGCTCTAGTGCGAGTACCGTTAAATGACAAAGGTTGACATCGGAACTCAGGCCCATGGTGGATTTGAACCCACGCGAAATGAGTCGTTGGAGAGTAAGATGGGCGATCCGGTAGGACGGGTAGGTTCACTGGACGACGCGAGAGGTCGGCGAAGCGAGTAAAGACGCCAAAACAGGCAAGCCAGTAGCAAAAGAAAGAAGAAGTTGGCCAATGTGGGATTCGAACCCACGCCCTTTCGGACCAGTGCCTTAAACTGGCGCCTTAGACCGCTCGGCCAATTGACCACCTTACGCAAACCACAACCCTCGCGCAAACAAAAAACGCCATTCGCCAACACACCACAGCTCACAAGCCACGCGCCGCACGTAGCCAAACGAACCATGCAGCACACCACCTGTCTTGGACGACTCGCCTCCGCCACCGCTTGCCTCACTCCGTCTTCACCCACCCAAGACTTGACTGATCTGATGTCGTCCATTTCCATGAGCCTGCCAAACGCTGTGTTGGCCTGTCACACGGTCGCACTTCCTCCTCATGCTCACATACGTCTACCCTATTCGGGAAAGTACTGCTTCGTTTTATTACGTCTGGTGTTTTGGCCATTCGGAGCGCGTGCCAACGAACAGGAGCCAGCTTCGATGCTTGGTCTCGGCACTGTCCAAACCACGCGAGCAAGCGCCCTTACAGTAATAAGGCGTTGACAGGGTGTCACAGCATAGTCCTCTTAACCCAGCACGGTCTGTGTTCTAGTGCGAGTACCGTTAAATGACAAAGGTTGACATCGGAACTCAGGCCCATGGTGGATTTGAACCCACGCGAAATGAGTCGTTGGAGAGTAAGATGGGCGATCCGGTAGGACGGGTAGGTTCACTGGACGACGCGAGAGGTCGGCGAAGCGAGTAAAGACGCCAAACAGGCAAGCCAGTGGCAAAAGAAAGAAGAAGTTGGCCAATGTGGGATTCGAACCCACGCCCTTTCGGACCAGTGCCTTAAACTGGCGCCTTAGACCGCTCGGCCAATTGACCACCTTACGCAAACCACAACCCCTCGCGCAAACAAAAAACGCCATTTCGCCAACACACCACAGCTCACCAAGCCACGCGCCGCACGCAGACAAACGACCCATGCAGCACACCACCTGTCTTGGACGACTCGCCTCCGCCACCGCTTGCCTCACTCCGTCTTCACCCACCCAAGACTTGACTGATCTGATGTCGTCCATTTCCATGAGCCTGCCAAACGCTGTGTTGGCCTGTCACACGGTCGCACTTCCTCCTCATGCTCACATACGTCTACCCTATTCGGGAAAGTACTGCTTCGTTTTATTACGTCTGGTGTTTTGGCCATTCGGAGCGCGTGCCAACGAACAGGAGCCAGCTTCGATGCTCGGTCTCGGCACTGTCCAAACCACGCGAGCAAGCGCCCTTACAGTAATAAGGCGTTGACAGGGTGTCACAGCATAGTCCTCTTAACCCAGCACGGTCTGTGTTCTAGTGCGAGTACCGTTAAATGACAAAGGTTGACATCGGAACTCAGGCCCATGGTGGATTTGAACCCACGCGAAATGAGTCGTTGGAGAGTAAGATGGGCGATCCGGTAGGACGGGTAGGTTCACTGGACGACGCGAGAGGTCGGCGAAGCGAGTAAAGACGCCAAAACAGGCAAGCCAGTGGCAAAAGAAAGAAGAAGTTGGCCAATGTGGGATTCGAACCCACGCCCTTTCGGACCAGTGCCTTAACTTAGACCGCTCGGCCAATTGACCACCTTACGCAAACCACAACCCTCGCGCAAACAAAAAACGCCATTCGCCAACACACCACAGCTCACAAGCCACGCGCCGCACGCAGCCAAACGAACCATGCAGCACACCACCTGTCTTGGACGACTCGCCTCCGCCACCGCTTGCCTCACTCCGTCTTCACCCACCCAAGACTTGACTGATCTGATGTCGTCCATTTCCATGAGCCTGCCAAACGCTGTGTTGGCCTGTCACACGGTCGCACTTCCTCCTCATGCTCACATACGTCTACCCTATTCGGGAAAGTACTGCTTCGTTTTATTACGTCTGGTGTTTTGGCCATTCGGAGCGCGTGCCAACGAACAGGAGCCAGCTTCGATGCTTGGTCTCGGCACTGTCCAAACCACGCGAGCAAGCGCCCTTACAGTAATAAGGCGTTGACAGGGTGTCACAGCATAGTCCTCTTAACCCAGCACGGTCTGTGTTCTAGTGCGAGTACCGTTAAATGACAAAGGTTGACATCGGAACTCAGGCCCATGGTGGATTTGAACCCACGCGAAATGAGTCGTTGGAGAGTAAGATGGGCGATCCGGTAGGACGGGTAGGTTCACTGGACGACGCGAGAGGTCGGCGAAGCGAGTAAAGACGCCAAAACAGGCAAGCCAGTGGCAAAAGAAAGAAGAAGTTGGCCAATGTGGGATTCGAACCCACGCCCTTTCGGACCAGTGCCTTAAACTGGCGCCTTAGACCGCTCGGCCAATTGACCACCTTACGCAAACCACAACCCTCGCGCAAACAAAAAACGCCATTCGCCAACACACCACAGCTCACAAGCCACGCGCCGCACGCAGCCAAACGAACCATGCAGCACACCACCTGTCTTGGACGACTCGCCTCCGCCACCGCTTGCCTCACTCCGTCTTCACCCACCCAAGACTTGACTGATCTGATGTCGTCCATTTCCATGAGCCTGCCAAACGCTGTGTTGGCCTGTCACACGGTCGCACTTCCTCCTCATGCTCACATACGTCTACCCTATTCGGGAAAGTACTGCTTCGTTTTATTACGTCTGGTGTTTTGGCCATTCGGAGCGCGTGCCAACGAACAGGAGCCAGCTTCGATGCTTGGTCTCGGCACTGTCCAAACCACGCGAGCAAGCGCCCTTACAGTAATAAGGCGTTGACAGGGTGTCACAGCATAGTCCTCTTAACCCAGCACGGTCTGTGTTCTAGTGCGAGTACCGTTAAATGACAAAGGTTGACATCGGAACTCAGGCCCATGGTGGATTTGAACCCACGCGAAATGAGTCGTTGGAGAGTAAGATGGGCGATCCGGTAGGACGGGTAGGCTCACTGGACGACGCGAGAGGTCGGCGAAGCGAGTAAAGACGCCAAAACAGGCAAGCCAGTGGCAAAAGAAAGAAGAAGTTGGCCAATGTGGGATTCGAACCCACGCCCTTTCGGACCAGTGCCTTAAACTGGCGCCTTAGACCGCTCGGCCAATTGACCACCTTACGCAAACCACAACCCTCGCGCAAACAAAAAACGCCATTCGCCAACACACCACAGCTCACAAGCCACGCGCCGCACGCAGCCAAACGAACCATGCAGCACACCACCTGTCTTGGACGACTCGCCTCCGCCACCGCTTGCCTCACTCCGTCTTCACCCACCCAAGACTTGACTGATCTGATGTCGTCCATTTCCATGAGCCTGCCAAACGCTGTGTTGGCCTGTCACACGGTCGCACTTCCTCCTCATGCTCACATACGTCTACCCTATTCGGGAAAGAACTGCTTCGTATTATTACGTCTGGTGTTTTGGTCCATTCGGAGCGCGTGGCTAACGAACAGGAGCCAGCTTCGATGCTTGGTTCTCGGCACTGTCCAAACCACGCGAGCAAGCGCCCTTACAGTAATAAGGGCGTTGACAGGGTGTCACAGCATAGTCCTCTTAACCCAGCACGGTCTGTGTTCTAGTGCGAGTACCGTTAAATGACAAAGGTTGACATCGGAACTCAGGCCCATGGTGGATTTGAACCCACGCGAAATGAGTCGTTGGAGAGTAAGATGGGCGATCCGGTAGGACGGGTAGGTTCACTGGACGACGCGAGAGGTCGGCGAAGCGAGTAAAGACGCCAAAACAGGCAAGCCAGTGGCAAAAGAAAGAAGAAGTTGGCCAATGTGGGATTCGAACCCACGCCCTTTCGGACCAGTGCCTTAAACTGGCGCCTTAGACCGCTCGGCCAATTGACCACCTTACGCAAACCACAACCCTCGCGCAAACAAAAAACGCCATTCGCCAACACACCACAGCTCACAAGCCACGCGCCGCACGCAGCCAAACGAACCATGCAGCACACCACCTGTCTTGGACGACTCGCCTCCGCCACCGCTTGCCTCACTCCGTCTTCACCCACCCAAGACTTGACTGATCTGATGTCGTCCATTTCCATGAGCCTGCCAAACGCTGTGTTGGCCTGTCACACGGTCGCACTTCCTCCTCATGCTCACATACGTCTACCCTATTCGGGAAAGTACTGCTTCGTTTTATTACGTCTGGTGTTTTGGCCATTCGGAGCGCGTGCCAACGAACAGGAGCCAGCTTCGATGCTTGGTCTCGGCACTGTCCAAACCACGCGAGCAAGCGCCCTTACAGTAATAAGGCGTTGACAGGGTGTCACAGCATAGTCCTCTTAACCCAGCACGGTCTGTGTTCTAGTGCGAGTACCGTTAAATGACAAAGGTTGACATCGGAACTCAGGCCCATGGTGGATTTGAACCCACGCGAAATGAGTCGTTGGAGAGTAAGATGGGCGATCCGGTAGGACGGGTAGGTTCACTGGACGACGCGAGAGGTCGGCGAAGCGAGTAAAGACGCCAAAACAGGCAAGCCAGTGGCAAAGAAAGAAGAAGTTGGGCCAATGTGGGATTCGAACCCACGCCCTTTCGGACCAGTGCCTTAACTTAGACCGCTCGGCCAATTGACCACCTTACGCAAACCATAACCCTCGCGCAAACAAAAAACGCCATTCGCCAACACACCACAGCTCACAAGCCACGCGCCGCACGCAGCCAAACGAACCATGCAGCACACCACCTGTCTTGGACGACTCGCCTCCGCCACCGCTTGCCTCACTCCGTCTTCACCCACCCAAGACTTGACTGATCTGATGTCGTCCATTTCCATGAGCCTGCCAAACGCTGTGTTGGCCTGTCACACGGTCGCACTTCCTCCTCATGCTCACATACGTCTACCCTATTCGGGAAAGTACTGCTTCGTTTTATTACGTCTGGTGTTTTGGCCATTCGGAGCGCGTGCCAACGAACAGGAGCCAGCTTCGATGCTCGGTCTCGGCACTGTCCAAACCACGCGAGCAAGCGCCCTTACAGTAATAAGGCGTTGACAGGGTGTCACAGCATAGTCCTCTTAACCCAGCACGGTCTGTGTTCTAGTGCGAGTACCGTTAAATGACAAAGGTTGACATCGGAACTCAGGCCCATGGTGGATTTGAACCCACGCGAAATGAGTCGTTGGAGAGTAAGATGGGCGATCCGGTAGGACGGGTAGGTTCACTGGACGACGCGAGAGGTCGGCGAAGCGAGTAAAGACGCCAAAACAGGCAAGCCAGTGGCAAAAGAAAGAAGAAGTTGGCCAATGTGGGATTCGAACCCACGCCCTTTCGGACCAGTGCCTTAACTTAGACCGCTCGGCCAATTGACCACCTTACGCAAATCACAACCCTCGCGCAAACAAAAAACGCCATTCGCCAACACACCACAGCTCACAAGCCACGCGCCGCACGCAGCCAAACGAACCATGCAGCACACCACCTGTCTTGGACGACTCGCCTCCGCCACCGCTTGCCTCACTCCGTCTTCACCCACCCAAGACTTGACTGATCTGATGTCGTCCATTTCCATGAGCCTGCCAAACGCTGTGTTGGCCTGTCACACGGTCGCACTTCCTCCTCATGCTCACATACGTCTACCCTATTCGGGAAAGTACTGCTTCGTTTTATTACGTGTGGTGTTTTGGCCATTCGGAGCGCGTGCCAACGAACAGGAGCCAGCTTCGATGCTCGGTCTCGGCACTGTCCAAACCACGCGAGCAAGCGCCCTTACAGTAATAAGGCGTTGACAGGGTGTCACAGCATAGTCCTCTTAACCCAGCACGGTCTGTGTTCTAGTGCGAGTACCGTTAAATGACAAAGGTTGACATCGGAACTCAGGCCCATGGTGGATTTGAACCCACGCGAAATGAGTCGTTGGAGAGTAAGATGGGCGATCCGGTAGGACGGGTAGGCTCACTGGAGGACGCGAGAGGTCGGCGAAGCGAGTAAAGACGCCAAAACAGGCAAGCCAGTGGCAAAAGAAAGAAGAAGTTGGCCAATGTGGGATTCGAACCCACGCCCTTTCGGACCAGTGCCTTAAACTGGCGCCTTAGACCGCTCGGCCAATTGACCACCTTACGCAAACCACAACCCTCGCGCAGACAAAAAACGCCATTCGCCAACACACCACAGCTCACAAGCCACGCGCCGCACGTAGCCAAACGAACCATGCAGCACACCACTTGTCTTGGACGACTCGCCTCCGCCACCGCTTGCCTCACTCCGTCTTCACCCACCCAAGACTTGACTGATCTGATGTCGTCCATTTCCATGAGCCTGCCAAACGCTGTGTTGGCCTGTCACACGGTCGCACTTCCTCCTCATGCTCACATACGTCTACCCTATTCGGGAAAGTACTGCTTCGTTTTATTACGTCTGGTGTTTTGGCCATTCGGAGCGCGTGCCAACGAACAGGAGCCAGCTTCGATGCTCGGTCTCGGCACTGTCCAAACCACGCGAGCAAGCGCCCTTACAGTAATAAGGCGTTGAAAGGGTGTCACAGCATAGTCCTCTTAACCCAGCACGGTCTGTGTTCTAGTGCGAGTACCGTTAAATGACAAAGGTTGACATCGGAACTCAGGCCCATGGTGGATTTGAACCCACGCGAAATGAGTCGTTGGAGAGTAAGATGGGCGATCCGGTAGGACGGGTAGGTTCACTGGACGACGCGAGAGGTCGGCGAAGCGAGTAAAGACGCCAAAACAGGCAAGCCAGTGGCAAAAGAAAGAAGAAGTTGGCCAATGTGGGATTCGAACCCACGCCCTTTCGGACCAGTGCCTTAAACTGGCGCCTTAGACCGCTCGGCCAATTGACCACCTTACGCAAACCACAACCCTCGCGCAAACAAAAAACGCCATTCGCCAACACACCACAGCTCACAAGCCACGCGCCACACGCAGTTAAACGAACCATGCAGCACACCACCTGTCTTGGACGACTCGCCTCCGCCACCGCTTGCCTCACTCCGTCTTCACCCACCCAAGACTTGACTGATCTGATGTCGTCCATTTCCATGAGCCTGCCAAACGCTGTGTTGGCCTGTCACACGGTCGCACTTCTTCCTCATGCTCACATACGTCTACCCTATTCGGGAAAGTACTGCTTCGTTTTATTACGTCTGGTGTTTTGGCCATTCGGAGCGCGTGCCAACGAACAGGAGCCAGCTTCGATGCTCGGTCTCGGCACTGTCCAAACCACGCGAGCAAGCGCCCTTACAGTAATAAGGCGTTGAAAGGGTGTCACAGCATAGTCCTCTTAACCCAGCACGGTCTGTGTTCTAGTGCGAGTACCGTTAAATGACAAAGGTTGACATCGGAACTCAGGCCCATGGTGGATTTGAACCCACGCGAAATGAGTCGTTGGAGAGTAAGATGGGCGATCCGGTAGGACGGGTAGGTTCACTGGACGACGCGAGAGGTCGGCGAAGCGAGTAAAGACGCCAAAACAGGCAAGCCAGTGGCAAAAGAAAGAAGAAGTTGGCCAATGTGGGATTCGAACCCACACCAGTGCCTTAAACTGGCGCCTTATACCGCTCGGCCAATTGACCACCTTACGCAAACCACAACCCTCGCGCAAACAAAAAACGCCATTCGCCAACACACCACAGCTCACAAGCCACGCGCCGCACGCAGTTAAACGAACCATGCAGCACACCACCTGTCTTGGACGACTCGCCTCCGCCACCGCTTGCCTCACTCCGTCTTCACCCACCCAAGACTTGACTGATCTGATGTCGTCCATTTCCATGAGCCTGCCAAACGCTATGTTGGCCTGTCACACGGTCGCACTTCCTCCTCATGCTCACATACGTCTACCCTATTCGGGAAAGTACTGCTTCGTTTTATTACGTCTGGTGTTTTGGCCATTCGGAGCGCGTGCCAACGAACAGGAGCCAGCTTCGATGCTTGGTCTCGGCACTGTCCAAACCACGCGAGCAAGCGCCCTTACAGTAATAAGGCGTTGACAGGGTGTCACAGCATAGTCCTCTTAACCCAGCACGGTCTGTGTTCTAGTGCGAGTACCGTTAAATGACAAAGGTTGACATCGGAACTCAGGCCCATGGTGGATTTGAACCCACGCGAAATGAGTCGTTGGAGAGTAAGATGGGCGATCCGGTAGGACGGGTAGGTTCACTGGACGACGCGAGAGGTCGGCGAAGCGAGTAAAGACGCCAAAACAGGCAAGCCAGTGGCAAAAGAAAGAAGAAGTTGGCCAATGTGGGATTCGAACCCACGCCCTTTCGGACCAGTGCCTTAAACTGGCGCCTTAGACCGCTCGGCCAATTGACCACCTTACGCAAACCACAACCCTCGCGCAAACAAAAAACGCCATTCGCCAACACACCACAGCTCACAAGCCACGCGCCGCACGCAGCCAAACGAACCATGCAGCACACCACTTGTCTTGGACGACTCGCCTCCGCCACCGCTTGCCTCACTCCGTCTTCACCCACCCAAGACTTGACTGATCTGATGTCGTCCATTTCCATGAGCCTGCCAAACGCTATGTTGGCCTGTCACACGGTCGCACTTCCTCCTCATGCTCACATACGTCTACCCTATTCGGGAAAGTACTGCTTCGTTTTATTACGTCTGGTGTTTTGGCCATTCGGAGCGCGTGCCAACGAACAGGAGCCAGCTTCGATGCTCGGTCTCGGCACTGTCCAAACCACGCGAGCAAGCGCCCTTACAGTAATAAGGCGTTGACAGGGTGTCACAGCATAGTCCTCTTAACCCAGCACGGTCTGTGTTCTAGTGCGAGTACCGTTAAATGACAAAGGTTGACATCGGAACTCAGGCCCATGGTGGATTTGAACCCACGCGAAATGAGTCGTTGGAGAGTAAGATGGGCGATCCGGTAGGACGGGTAGGTTCACTGGACGACGCGAGAGGTCGGCGAAGCGAGTAAAGACGCCAAAACAGGCAAGCCAGTGGCAAAAGAAAGAAGAAATTGGCCAATGTGGGATTCGAACCCACGCCCTTTCGGACCAGTGCCTTAAACTGGCGCCTTAGACCGCTCGGCCAATTGACCACCTTACGCAAACCACAACCCTCGCGCAAACAAAAAACGCCATTCGCCAACACACCACAGCTCACAAGCCACGCGCCGCACGCAGCCAAACGAACCATGCAGCACACCACCTGTCTTGGACGACTCGCCTCCGCCACCGCTTGCCTCACTCCGTCTTCACCCACCCAAGACTTGACTGATCTGATGTCGTCCATTTCCATGAGCCTGCCAAACGCTGTGTTGGCCTGTCACACGGTCGCACTTCCTCCTCATGCTCACATACGTCTACCCTATTCGGGAAAGTACTGCTTCGTTTTATTACGTCTGGTGTTTTGGCCATTCGGAGCGCGTGCCAACGAACAGGAGCCAGCTTCGATGCTTGGTCTCGGCACTGTCCAAACCACGCGAGCAAGCGCCCTTACAGTAATAAGGCGTTGACAGGGTGTCACAGCATAGTCCTCTTAACCCAGCACGGTCTGTGTTCTAGTGCGAGTACCGTTAAATGACAAAGGTTGACATCGGAACTCAGGCCCATGGTGGATTTGAACCCACGCGAATGAGTCGTTGGAGAGTAAGATGGGCGATCCGGTAGGACGGGTAGGTTCACTGGACGACGCGAGAGGTCGGCGAAGCGAGTAAAGACGCCAAAACAGGCAAGCCAGTGGCAAAAGAAAGAAGAAGTTGGCCAATGTGGGATTCGAACCCACGCCCTTTCGGACCAGTGCCTTAAACTGGCGCCTTAGACCGCTCGGCCAATTGACCACCTTACGCAAACCACAACCCTCGCGCAAACAAAAAACGCCATTCGCCAACACACCACAGCTCACAAGCCACGCGCCGCACGCAGCCAAACGAACCATGCAGCACACCACCTGTCTTGGACGACTTGCCTCCGCCACCGCTTGCCTCACTCCGTCTTCATCCACCCAAGACTTCACTGATCTGATGTCGTCCATTTCCATGAGCCTGCCAAACGCTGTGTTGGCCTGTCACACGGTCGCACTTCCTACTCATGCTCACATACGTCTACCCTATTCGGGAAAGTACTGCTTCGTTTTATTACGTCTGGTGTTTTGGCCATTCGGAGCGCGTGCCAACGAACAGGAGCCAGCTTCGATGCTTGGTCTCGGCACTGTCCAAACCACGCGAGCAAGCGCCCTTACAGTAATAAGGCGTTGACAGGGTGTCACAGCATAGTCCTCTTAACCCAGCACGGTCTGTGTTCTAGTGCGAGTACCGTTAAATGACAAAGGTTGACATCGGAACTCAGGCCCATGGTGGATTTGAACCCACGCGAAATGAGTCGTTGGAGAGTAAGATGGGCGATCCGGTAGGACGGGTAGGTTCACTGGACGACGCGAGAGGTCGGCGAAGCGAGTAAAGACGCCAAAACAGGCAAGCCAGTGGCAAAAGAAAGAAGAAGTTGGCCAATGTGGGATTCGAACCCACGCCCTTTCGGACCAGTGCCTTAAACTGGCGCCTTAGACCGCTCGGCCAATTGACCACCTTACTCAAACCACAACCCTCGCGCAAACAAAAAAACGCCATTCGCCAACACACCACAGCTCACAAGCCACGCGCCGCACGCAGCCAAACGAACCATGCAGCACACCACGTGTCTTGGACGACTCGCCTCCGCCACCGCTTGCCTCACTCCGTCTTCACCCACCCAAGACTTGACTGATCTGATGTCGTCCATTTCCATGAGCCTGCCAAACGCTGTGCTGGCCTGTCACACGGTCGCACTTCCTCCTCATGCTCACATACGTCTACCCTATTCGGGAAAGTACTGCTTCGTTTTATTACGTCTGGTGTTTTGGCCATTCTGAGCGCGTGCCAACGAACAGGAGCCAGCTTCGATGCTCGGTCTCGGCACTGTCCAAACCACGCGAGCAAGCGCCCTTACAGTAATAAGGCGTTGACAGGGTGTCACAGCATAGTCCTCTTAACCCAGCACGGTCTGTGTTCTAGTGCGAGTACCGTTAAATGACAAAGGTTGACATCGGACCTCAGGCCCATGGTGGATTTGAACCCACGCGAAATGAGTCGTTGGAGAGTAAGATGGGCGATCCGGTAGGACGGGTAGGTTCACTGGACGACGCGAGAGGTCGGCGAAGCGAGTAAAGACGCCAAAACAGGCAAGCCAGTGGCAAAAGAAAGAAGAAGTTGGCCAATGTGGGATTCGAACCCACGCCCTTTCGGACCAGTGCCTTAAACTGGCGCCTTAGACCGCTCGGCCAATTGACCACCTTACGCAAACCACAACCCTCGCGCAAACAAAAAACGCCATTCGCCAACACACCACAGCTCACAAGCCACGCGCCGCACGTAGCCAAACGAACCATGCAGCACACCACTTGTCTTGGACGACTCGCCTCCGCCACCGCTTGCCTCACTCCGTCTTCACCCACCCAAGACTTGACTGATCTGATGTCGTCCATTTCCATGAGCCTGCCAAACGCTGTGTTGGCCTGTCACACGGTCGCACTTCCTCCTCATGCTCACATACGTCTACCCTATTCGGGAAAGTACTGCTTCGTTTTATTACGTCTGGTGTTTTGGCCATTCGGAGCGCGTGCCAACGAACAGGAGCCAGCTTCGATGCTCGGTCTCGGCACTGTCCAAACCACGCGAGCAAGCGCCCTTACAGTAATAAGGCGTTGACAGGGTGTCACAGCATAGTCCTCTTAACCCAGCACGGTCTGTGTTCTAGTGCGAGTACCGTTAAATGACAAAGGTTGACATCGGAACTCAGGCCCATGGTGGATTTGAACCCACGCGAAATGAGTCGTTGGAGAGTAAGATGGGCGATCCGGTAGGACGGGTAGGTTCACTGGACGACGCGAGAGGTCGGCGAAGCGAGTAAAGACGCCAAAACAGGCAAGCCAGTGGCAAAAGAAAGAAGAAGTTGGCCAATGTGGGATTCGAACCCACGCCCTTTCGGACCAGTGCCTTAAACTGGCGCCTTAGACCGCTCGGCCAATTGACCACCTTACGCAAATCACAACCCTCGCGCAAACAAAAAACGCCATTCGCCAACACACCACAGCTCACAAGCCACGCGCCGCACGCAGCCAAACGAACCATGCAGCACACCACCTGTCTTGGACGACTCGCCTCCGCCACCGCTTGCCTCACTCCGTCTTCACCCACCCAAGACTTGACTGATCTGATGTCGTCCATTTTCCATGATGCTGCCAACCGCTGTGTTGTGCCTGTCACACGGTCGCACTTCCTCCTCATGCTCACATACGTCTACCCTATTCGGGAAAGGAACTGCTTCGTTTTTATTACGTCTTGGGTGTTTTGGCCATTCCGGAGCGCCGTGCCAACGAAACAGGAAGCCAGCTTTCGATGCCTTGGTCTTCGGGCACTTGTCCAAATCCACGCCGAGCAAGCGCCCCTTACCAGTAATAAGGCCGTTGACAGGGTGTCACAGCATAGTCCTCTTAACCCAGCACGGTCTGTGTTCTAGTGCGAGTACCGTTAAATGACAAAGGTTGACATCGGAGCGCAGGCCCATGGTGGATTTGAACCCACGCGAAATGAGTCGTTGGAGAGTAAGATGGGCGATCCGGTAGGACGGGTAGGTTCACTGGACTACGCATGAGGTCGGCGAAGCGAGTAAAGACGCCAAAACAGGCAAGCCAGTGGCAAAAGAAAGAAGAAGTTGGCCAATGTGGGATTCGAACCCACGCCCTTTCGGACCAGTGCCTTAAACTGGCGCCTTAGATCGCTCGGCCAATTGACCACCTTACCCAAGCCGCAACCCTCGCGCAAACAAAAAACGCCATTTGCCAACACACCACAGCTCACAAGCCACGCGCCGCACGCAGCCAAACGAACCATGCAGCACACCACCTGTCTTGGACGACTCGCCTCCGCCACCGCTTGCCTCACTCCGTCTTCACCCACCCAAGACTTGACTGATCTGATGTCGTCCATTTCCATGAGCCTGCCAAACGCTGTGTTGGCCTGTCACACGGTCGCACTTCCTCCTCATGCTCACATACGTCTACCCTATTCGGGAAAGTACTGCTTCGTTTTATTACGTCTCGTGTGTTGGCCATTCGCAGCGCGTGCCAACGAACAGGAGCCAGCTTCGATGCTTTGTCTCGGCGCTGTCCAAACCACGCGAGCAAGCGCCCTTACAGTAATAAAGACGTTGACAGGGTGTCACAGCATAGTCCTCTTAACCCAGCACGGTCTGTGTTCTGAGTGCGAGTACCGTTAAATGACAAAGGTTGACATCGGAACTCAGGCCCATGGTGGATTTGAACCCACGCGAAATGAGTCGTTGGAGAGTAAGATGGGCGATCCCGGTAGGACGGGTAGGTTCACCTGGACGACGCGAGAGGTCGGCGAAGCAGAGTAAAGACGCCAAAAACAGGCAAGCCAGTGGCAAAAGAAAGAAGAAGTTGGCTCAATGTGGGATTCGAACCCACGACCCTTTCGGACCAGTGCCTTTAAACTGGCGCCTTGAGACTCGCTCGGCCAATTAGACCACCGTTACGCAAAACCACAACCCTCGCGCAAACAAAAAACGCCATTCGCCAACACACCACAGCTCACAAGCCACGCGCCGCACGTAGCCAAACGAACCATGCAGCACACCACTTGTCTTGGACGACTCGCCTCCGCCACCGCTTGCCTCACTCCGTCTTCACTCACCCAAGACTTGACTGATCTGATGTCGTCCATTTCCATGAGCCTGCCAAACGCTGTGTTGGCCTGTCACACGGTCGCACTTCCTCCTCATGCTCACATACGTCTACCCTATTCGGGAAAGTACTGCTTCGTTTTATTACGTCTGGTGTTTTGGCCATTCGGAGCGCGTGCCAACGAACAGGAGCCAGCTTCGATGCTTGGTCTCGGCACTGTCCAAACCACGCGAGCAAGCGCCCTTACAGTAATAAGGCGTTGACAGGGTGTCACAGCATAGTCCTCTTAACCCAGCACGGTCTGTGTTCTAGTGCGAGTACCCGTTAAATGACAAAGGGTTGACATCGGAACTCAGGCCCATGGTGGATTTGAACCCACGCGAAATGAGTCGTTGGAGAGTAAGATGGGCGATCCGGTAGGACGGGTAGGTTCACTGGACGACGCGAGAGGTCGGCGAAGCGAGTAAAGACGCCAAAACAGGCAAGCCAGTGGCAAAAGAAAGAATAAGTTGGCCAATGTGGGATTCGAACCCACGCCCTTTCGGACCAGTGCCTTAAACTGGCGCCTTAGACCGCTCGGCCAATTGACCACCTTACGCAAACCACAACCCTCGCGCAAACAAAAAACGCCATTCGCCAACACACCACAGCTCACAAGCCACGCGCCGCACGTAGCCAAACGAACCATGCAGCACACCACTTGTCTTGGACGACTCGCCTCCGCCACCGCTTGCCTCACTCCGTCTTCACCCACCCAAGACTTGACTGATCTGATGTCGTCCATTTCCATGAGCCTGCCAAACGCTGTGTTGGCCTGTCACACGGTCGCACTTCCTCCTCATGCTCACATACGTCTACCCTATTCGGGAAAGTACTGCTTCGTTTTATTACGTCTGGTGTTTTGGCCATTCGGAGCGCGTGCCAACGAACAGGAGCCAGCTTCGATGCTCGGTCTCGGCACTGTCCAAACCACGCGAGCAAGCGCCCTTACAGTAATAAGGCGTTGAAAGGGTGTCACAGCATAGTCCTCTTAACCCAGCACGGTCTGTGTTCTAGTGCGAGTACCGTTAAATGACAAAGGTTGACATCGGAACTCAGGCCCATGGTGGGATTTGAACCCACGCGAAATGAGTCGTTGGAGAGTAAGATGGGCGATCCGGTAGGACGGGTAGGTTCACTGGGACGACTCGAGAGGTCGGCGAAGCGAGTAAAGACGCCAAAACAGGCAAGCCAGTGGCAAAAGAAAGAAGAAGTTGGCCAATTGTGAGATTCGAACCCACGCCCTTTCGGACCAGTCCCTTAAACTGGCGCCTTAGACCGCTCGGCCCAATTGCCCACCTTACGCAAACCCACAACCCTCGCGGCAAACAAAAAACGCCATTCGCCAACACACCACAGCTCACAAGCCACGCGCCCGCACGTAGCCAAACGAACCATGCAGCACACCACCTGTCTTGGACGACTCGCCTCCGCCACCGCTTGCCTCACTCCGTCTTCACCCACCCAAGACTTGACTGATCTGATGTCGTCCATTTCCATGAGCCTGCCAAACGCTGTGTTGGCCTGTCACACGGTCGCACTTCCTCCTCATGCTCACATACGTCTACCCTATTCGGGAAGGTACTGCTTCGTTTTATTACGTCTGGTGTTTTGGCCATTCGGAGCGCGTGCCAACGAACAGGAGCCAGCTTCGATGCTCGGTCTCGGCACTGTCCAAACCACGCGAGCAAGCGCCCTTACAGTAATAAGGCGTTGACAGGGTGTCACAGCATAGTCCTCTTAACCCAGCACGGTCTGTGTTCTAGTGCGAGTACCGTTAAATGACAAAGGTTGACATCGGAACTCAGGCCCATGGTGGATTTGAACCCACGCGAAATGAGTCGTTGGAGAGTAAGATGGGCGATCCGGTAGGACGGGTAGGTTCACTGGACGACGCGAGAGGTCGGCGAAGCGAGTAAAGACGCCAAAACAGGCAAGCCAGTGGCAAAAGAAAGAAGAAGTTGGCCAATGTGGGATTCGAACCCACGCCCTTTCGGACCAGTGCCTTAAACTGGCGCCTTAGACCGCTCGGCCAATTGACCACCTTACGCAAACCACAACCCTCGCGCAAACAAAAAACGCCATTCGCCAACACACCACAGCTCACAAGCCACGCGCCGCACGCAGCCAAACGAACCATGCAGCACACCACCTGTCTTGGACGACTCGCCTCCGCCACCGCTTGCCTCACTCCGTCTTCACCCACCCAAGACTTGACTGATCTGATGTCGTCCATTTCCATGAGCCTGCCAAACGCTGTGCTGGCCTGTCACACGGTCGCACTTCCTCCTTATGCTCACATACGTCTACCCTATTCGGGAAAGTACTGCTTCGTTTTATTACGTCTGGTGTTTTGGCCATTCGGAGCGCGTGCCAACGAACAGGAGCCAGCTTCGATGCTCGGTCTCGGCACTGTCCAAACCACGCGAGCAAGCGCCCTTACAGTAATAAGGCGTTGACAGGGTGTCACAGCATAGTCCTCTTAACCCAGCACGGTCTGTGTTCTAGTGCGAGTACCGTTAAATGACAAAGGTTGACATCGGAACTCAGGCCCATGGTGGATTTGAACCCACGCGAAATGAGTCGTTGGAGAGTAAGATGGGCGATCCGGTAGGACGGGTAGGTTCACTGGACGACGCGAGAGGTCGGCGAAGCGAGTAAAGACGCCAAAACAGGCAAGCCAGTGGCAAAAGAAAGAAGAAGTTGGCCAATGTGGGATTCGAACCCACGCCCTTTCGGACCAGTGCCTTAAACTGGCGCCTTAGACCGCTCGGCCAATTGACCACCTTACGCAAACCACAACCCTCGCGCAAACAAAAAACGCCATTCGCCAACACACCACAGCTCACAAGCCACGCGCCGCACGCAGCCAAACGAACCATGCAGCACACCACCTGTCTTGGACGACTCGCCTCCGCCACCGCTTGCCTCACTCCGTCTTCACCCACCCAAGACTTGACTGATCTGATGTCGTCCATTTCCATGAGCCTGCCAAACGCTGTGTTGGCCTGTCACACGGTCGCACTTCCTCCTCATGCTCACATACGTCTACCCTATTCGGGAAAGTACTGCTTCGTTTTATTACGTCTGGTGTTTTGGCCATTCGGAGCGCGTGCCAACGAACAGGAGCCAGCTTCGATGCTTGGTCTCGGCACTGTCCAAACCACGCGAGCAAGCGCCCTTACAGTAATAAGGCGTTGACAGGGTGTCACAGCATAGTCCTCTTAACCCAGCACGGTCTGTGTTCTAGTGCGAGTACCGTTAAATGACAAAGGTTGACATCGGAACTCAGGCCCATGGTGGATTTGAACCCACGCGAAATGAGTCGTTGGAGAGTAAGATGGGCGATCCGGTAGGACGGGTAGGTTCACTGGACGACGCGAGAGGTCGGCGAAGCGAGTAAAGACGCCAAAACAGGCAAGCCAGTGGCAAAAGAAAGAAGAAGTTGGCCAATGTGGGATTCGAACCCACGCCCTTTCGGACCAGTGCCTTAAACTGGCGCCTTAGACCGCTCGGCCAATTGACCACCTTACGCAAACCACAACCCTCGCGCAAACAAAAAACGCCATTCGCCAACACACCACAGCTCACAAGCCACGCGCCGCACGCAGCCCAAACGAACCATGCAGCACACCACCTGTCTTGGACGACTCGCCTCCGCCACCGCTTGCCTCACTCCGTCTTCACCCACCCAAGACTTGACTGATCTGATGTCGTCCATTTCCATGAGCCTGCCAAACGCTGTGTTGGCCTGTCACACGGTCGCACTTCCTCCTCATGCTCACATACGTCTACCCTATTCGGGAAAGTACTGCTTCGTTTTATTACGTCTGGTGTTTTGGCCATTCGGAGCGCGTGCCAACGAACAGGAGCCAGCTTCGATGCTTGGTCTCGGCACTGTCCAAACCACGCGAGCAAGCGCCCTTACAGTAATAAGGCGTTGACAGGGTGTCACAGCATAGTCCTCTTAACCCAGCACGGTCTGTGTTCTAGTGCGAGTACCGTTAAATGACAAAGGCTGACATCGGAGCTCAGGCCCATGGTGGATTTGAACCCACGCGAAATGAGTCGTTGGAGAGTAAGATGGGCGATCCGGTAGGATGGGTAGGTTCACTGGACGACGCGAGAGGTCGGCGAAGCGAGTAAAGACGCCAAAACAGGCAAGCCAGTGGCAAAAGAAAGAAGAAGTTGGCCAATGTGGGATTCGAACCCACGCCCTTTCGGACCAGTGCCTTAAACTGGCGCCTTAGACCGCTCGGCCAATTGACCACCTTACGCAAACCACAACCCTCGCGCAAACAAAAAACGCCATTCGCCAACACACCACAGCTCACAAGCCACGCGCCGCACGTAGCCAAACGAACCATGCAGCACACCACTTGTCTTGGACGACTCGCCTCCGCCACCGCTTGCCTCACTCCGTCTTCACCCACCCAAGACTTGACTGATCTGATGTCGTCCATTTCCATGAGCCTGCCAAACGCTGTGTTGGCCTGTCACACGGTCGCACTTCCTCCTCATGCTCACATACGTCTACCCTATTCGGGAAAGTACTGCTTCGTTTTATTACGTCTGGTGTTTTGGCCATTCGGAGCGCGTGCCAACGAACAGGAGCCAGCTTCGATGCTTGGTCTCGGCACTGTCCAAACCACGCGAGCAAGCGCCCTTACAGTAA